GAGGTGAGGGATAGAGAGAGGGAGGCAGCAGGGATGTGGGGAGGAGAGTGAGCAAAAGGGGTGTTGAAGCGAGAGTAGAGTGGGAGAAAGGAGGAGAGAATTTTCTGAAAGAAAGCATTTTTGCTTGATTGAAGCAAAACATCCATGGAAACTCCATCGGTAGAAAACCAAGACCAGAGGCAGAACAAAAGGGAAGCCAATAAGCATTCTTACAAAGAGTTCTGTACACTGTGTTTACTTGGGCTTTAACTTGCTCTGGCCTGCTTGGTTTCACTGCTGCTCAGCACAGAAGCTTAAAATGTCAGAACAGCTACCTCCATGTTCAGGTTTGTGTACATTAAAGCGACCGGTGAATTCTCAGAGTGCGTGGCCGTGGGTTCTCTCATGTCATGCTTCCGCTGTCTTTGGGTGCATTGTGCTTGTTAAATGATCTCATCAGGTCAAGCCGGGGGTGTGCTTAACAAACTCCACTGCGGCCAGAGCAGGATTGTTGCCATCACATGTTTAAAAAAACAAAACAAAAAAAGAGTTAATCCGATCACCTCCATTGCTTTGTGGTGCTGTTCTGATGCTCATGTAACCATTGTAAGCTCACAATGCTTTGTGATCTGGACACAGATCAGCTGGGGCACCCTCATAAGTCTGCAGATACACCATCTATTGAGCAACAAAGCGTGGTAAAACCAGTATTCTGGCGTCTTAAAAAAAAAGAAAAGCTTGAGCACTTATGGCTGGTTTCCCCTCTTGTACATCTTTGGTTAGGTCTAGTCCATAGCAGACTGGGAGATGCTTTATACAGTATAACCCAGTTATCTAGCCAACACAATCTGGCCTTTGCAAATGTTATGGCCGGCCATGCCTCTTGTCTCACTCACACCATCGTACACTCCATGCATGCCTCCCTTAGGCCAACAACTTTCATGCAGCCTTGATTGAGCTGCTGTCGGCTGTTTTTTGACACACCTTAAATTTGACTTTTGTTACATTAGCTGGCTCAGATTCCCCTCAACCCCTTGAGACCTGCCACTGCATCCACTATGGCAGTGTGAAAGTACCTTGACTCTCAGTTTAGGGTGGAAAATGAGACTCGTAAAGGTTCTGGCAGGTTGCCCCAATAGGGCAACAAACAACAACACTTTGCATTAACGTAAAACCCTCACATCTGTTAGCAATGAACCTAAATTTCAGATTGGAACTGGGCGGTGTTTAAATGGAGATGGGAGTCAGATTGTTGTTTAATGCTTAGTGAAATTAGAAAGGATACTGTGTCATTATTCTAAATTATGTGTGTCAAGGGAAGTTTATTTGTGAGATTTTGACTTTTTTAGTCATATTTTTACATAAAACAACATGGTGCGTGTATTTGTTTTTGCTCCAGATAAATATCTGTTTCGGAAAGTATGTCTGTGTTTGCTTCTACCGTGGTCGTCAGATTAAACAGTTTTCTTAAAAAAGAATCTCCAGCTCACTCACTCCCATCTTGTTAGTTTTTCTCAAAGCGGAGATCCACCTTCCAACAAACATCCATTTGAGCACTTGCAGCAAGTGGTCGTGTTGACAGGCTGGATTTGTGTGACGTCGGGGTGCTGAAAAACCAGCACCAGCTGCTGGGGGTTAGTGTTGAGTAAGATATCAGAAAAGCTGCTGTGATGAGTAGTCATACTCTCCTGAATGGATGCCATGAGAGCAATATTCCCATGATATTCTCATGGCACAACAATGGGAGAAAAATCAACATCAATTGTCGGTGTTTTCTACTATGTATTTTAACATTAACATTATATTGCTTTTTATACTTGTTTTTTCATTTTTTGTTCTATTTTCAAAAAGTTTGCTTTGGTGATCCGTTTTTGTACCCTTTCCTGGTTTTGGCCCTCTTTATCTGTCTTGTGACTCAGTATGTGAGCTTGCCTTGATCTCATATCAGCCTTAATGAGCGGATTCATCCTCACACTGGCAGATTAGACAAACAGGATCCTTCTGGAGTGTTAAGAGGCTGTTGTGGGCTGTTGGGGCTGCCCTGTTCGCAGTGCTGGAGGCACACACAGGATGAGGCTCAGTGGTGGGCTTGTACTGGGCCTGCAGCCTGTGGGCCGGAAAGGCTCACTGCTGTTCTGAATGGCCCCTGAGAGTCCAGTGTGATGGACAGTCTGAGGCTCCACACACTGGCCCTTTGTATCAAGGCTTCTTGGACTCTCTTTTTGTTAATTTTTTTTCATGTCTCTTTTACACAGTGTCACACAGTCACACTTTCACACACTTTTTTTTCCACACAACCACCCTCCCCCTTCTCTCCTCGTGATCCTAAATAAGGCAAATCTAGCTTTTGCTGTGAGGCTAGACATTGTCATGGCAAACAGTTGCTAACTTGTCCGTGTTTCTTGAACCCACTCTATTTTGCATTCACTTTTCTTGTCATTCATGCTCTGTACTACGAAGATAGAGAAAAGATTCTCTTGAAGTGGCCAGAGGTCTGATTGGGGAGTATTAGTCAGGGGCTAGGAGCATGTGAAAGTCATCAGAGGGCCCAGTATGATTTTCATTTATGATGCTCTGTTCAGAAAAAGACAGCATTTCATGTTTATCTTTCACGCTTTTGATTGTTGAATGGGGATTTTTTAAAAAGACTATCTCCATTAAATCAAGCTGTTGTTTGCTTAGTTTTGATGGACTAGTAAATTAACCATAAAAAGTAGGTGCTCAATTAATTGCCAACTGTCTCAGTGGATAAAAAGAAGACACAAACCTGGGGTGAATAACTAACTCTTAAAAATGAAGGCATATTTAATTAAACTGACCTCAATATCTCACAGACATTATAGTTACCCCCAAATCTCAAGTTTCCACTCATTCCACAAGTCTTTATTTACTTTGGCATAGATTGTTGATCCTGGCTACTGTGCAGGACTGCTTAAAGGTTGGGTTAGATGTCCTTCTGCTTGCCGGAGAATATATATATGTATATTTATAAAAAATGTATTAAGACTGAACAGAGTTAGGTTTCTTATATTCCTAATAATTGAAGTATCCCAGATGGTCCATTCATGTCTGTGCGGACGTTGTCTGTCAGGACAGAATTTTAAAGACGTGACAAAATGTCTGATCCAGCTGTGTGAAGACCACCAGCTGTGGATTCTTTTAGTTACCAAGCACACCACCAAAAAAGGCGGTAAGACAAGGATGATAGATGTATGGATGTAAGCATGACGCTCATCACGGTAACCTGAAAAGACTGGCTGCAACATGGTCAAAACTTCTCACTATTTCTGAAATATCTGAACCCTTACATCTCAACACAGACAGACTGGATGCACCAGCACCATTGTTTTGTTTGACAACCAACACTGAGCTTTCAGGTTTTGATTAGTTGATCTGAGTGGAATGTTGATGCATTTCAAGCCAGTTTAAAATGACACAATACTTTCTGAATGATCATTTTTCCTTCCTTGTGTCAAATAAAGTCCCATTGTCAGTGTGGCGGTTGTTACATCCTCAGCCAGTTTTGTGCCATTTAATTGGGTGATAAATATAAGCCCTAACTACACTTAAGACATGGAAACATAACAAAGATTATTGCTAGAAAGTATGCCGCACCATTATGTAAACAGTCCTTCACTTTCGTTAACAGTGAGGATACTTGGAGTTAACTTCTTCTTCTTGGATCAGAGCTACCTGACAGCACTCTACAGAAAGAACAGCTCACAATTTAAAGGAACAATATTTACTTAATAACTGCCCTAAATATCTTGTGGAGCTCTGTGGTCCTTACTGGCCCTTCCATGATGTGTTCGTCTGACAAATGTGGGCTGCGGTTGAAGTTAGCAGCTCTGCTGTGGGCATACTCATTGAACTGTGGTTAACATGCTGCCATGGCAACTCCTGTTCTCACCATGGGACCGAAATGTTTTTATCTCCCAGTACTACACAAACAGACAGGACAAGGCCTCTTATTGCAAAGATATTGGTCCAGCAGCAGTATATCTGAATTTCTTTGTGTTGACAAAGAGCACTAATACAGCTGAACTTTGAGGAACCTCATGGAGGAGGCAAGCGAGTAGAGCAGATTTGTGGTTTTGAACTGAGGTGTGGTTATCTCCTCTCCTGATACGCGGCCTTTCTTTTCCTTGCTTCGTGCAGAAATTGGCTGACGAAATTGGCTGATGAAGTCCAATATGTGAGCATGTGACAGGTTTAATGATAGACTATTTACAGTATCTGCGTGAGCTTCTACCACCTCATATTTGGCGATTACTTTTAACATCTCCAATTTTAGAATGTATTTACTGGTATCTTAGAGGGGTGATTTTGAAAATATTGTGTATAAATGTGTAGTTGCTTTTAAATAGAAAGTGTTAAATTGCCAGATAAATCATAAGACAGCGTGGTTAGATTTTGTGTGGAAAATTCTGTAAAGAGTATTATTCAAATACCTCAGTTCCAGTGTGGCATCAGGCAGAGGTGTAACGTTTTAAATAATGAGGGGGCAATGACCTCGATGTCCTGTGACTCTGCAACATCCTGTCTAATGTGGAGTTGATTGGAAACACACTGCAGCTTGTTTGTCGGTGCCCACAGACACTGCATTGTGGTGAATGGCTCTATTTTGAAGCCTACATCGGACGAGACAGACCCATCTGGGTCACCTCACTCCAGTCATGGTTCGCTGCCATAGATTTCCTTTATAGCTTGGCGGACACCCACTGTTCTGACCTGCTGGACGGCCATTAGTGCCCATAAAGTGCAGGGCTGAATTGTCAATGAAAACATAAAGGCAATTTTGATTGGACTTCTTTAGCGGAATTTGAAACCTGCATCTACTGGTGCTAAACACTTTGACTGAGATAGGAGGTATACCTTCTAAATACATTTGTAACATTGTGTTTTTTTGCAGAGCTAGTGGCTAAGGTTAATGCCAGTAAAAGAAAAGTATCAAATAACATTCATTATTTCTTGGTTTGATTTAAAGCTGACACTCTTTCCTCTTTTTTCTCTTTCCGCAGGGTGCTTTGAGTGCTGCATTAAATGTTTAGGCGGAGTGCCATATGCGTCGCTGGTGGCAACCATCCTTTGCTTCTCTGGCGTGGCGCTCTTCTGTGGATGTGGCCATGTGGCTCTCACTGGCACAGTGACCATCCTGGAAACCCACTTTTCCAAGGTCACAACTGATCATGCCATGCTCACTGATGTGTAAGTGACCTTGTACTCTAATTTCATCCCACTAGGCCGCTTGCAGCGTTTGTCTGACCCCGAGAAACACAAAACTGAAAGAAATGACCGTATTGTAAACTCTTCAGGTTTATTATCCATTTCTTCATGGACTCACTGGAAATGATGCACCTAAAGAGAAACCCAAGCTTCATGCAGATATATCTTTAACGAGGAGGACTTTTATGTTGACTATTTTTAGCTGACATTGTCTCCTACTTCATCTGATCCTTGAGAACAGTCCTAATATGGACATTTGTTTTCTGCAACACATCCATTAGTCCAAATAATAAAAGAGGAATGACATTAGGCAGGGCTGCACATGTGTTTTATGTTGAGGTGGATGTGAAGAGCCCTGTTTAATTTAAGATGTCCACCGTGGCAATTTGTCTCGTGGTGGATGATTTCCAGAGACTTGCATCACCTGTTATCTCCACATTTGGGCTTGCATCCCTCTTCAAGTGTTGACATTCACTATATCACAGACATCTGTTTATGTTTAACCAATCCAGGTTACTGTCTTGCGTGCAAATTTAAGTACTGCATGGAGCTTTTTTCCACCCCAGTTATGCCATGCTAAGATGACAGTATATTTTAGTGGTGCTCTCCAGGTGTGATGTAGAAGATAAAGGCTGTTTTTGATTTATACCTGCTCAGCAAAGCCTAACTGTGAGACTGCTCTTTAACAGAATACAGCTGATGCAGTATGTCATCTATGGCATTGCTTCGTTTTTCTTCCTGTATGGAATCATCCTGCTTGCCGAGGGCTTTTACACAACCAGTGCCGTCAAAGAACTACACAGCGAGTTCAAGACCACCATCTGTGGACGCTGCATCAGTGGAATGGTATGTTAACAAACCCTCACTGCTGTGATGAAACACATGCTGGGAAACAGGTTTATGTCATGTGTTAAAATATAAAAAACAAAAACATTCTTAATTAGTGCGAATGGACATCAACCGACTTTTATAGTTCTATGTCTATGCTAACAGTGGGACCTTTCTATGTCCTCAGTTTGTGTTCCTCACATACATCCTGGGTGTCGCCTGGCTCGGTGTGTTTGGCTTCTCTGCTGTACCAGTCTTCCTTTTCTACAACATGTGGTCTACATGTAACACCATGAAGTCTCCCATGGTCAACCTGACAAACATTGAGTCCATCTGCGTGGATGTTCGTCAGTATGGTGAGAGAACTGCGCTTTTTTCATTTTTGTTATGAACTGAAGTTGTTTTTCACTTAGTATTTCACTCTATTGAACCGAAGCAAAATAAATAAATAAAGAAATCTGCTTTTACAAATACGTAAATGGGAATTATAGTGCTCTCAAACTATTAGTCGTAGTTTCACCTGCAGTTTTTTTTATTTTTAATGTGAAAGTCCAGGCAATTTATTCAGGGTTCATTTTGATCTGCTGCATAAATTGCATTAAAAAAAAGGCAAACAAGATGAGTTTGAATGACAAGGAGAAACTCTAGAAAGTTAAGATGAGGAAATTCAATGCAATGGGATCCTTAGATAGGTTCACAACCATCTTTTCATTGCACTTTGAATATTATTTTTTATAATAGACCAACTAAAAGAGGAAAGGTTCATATAAATGTAGCAGATAGGATCACTTTTAATCTCTGCATGAGTCTATCAGAACACAGGAAATGGCCGCCTACAAGATGATTGAATCTTTCATTAGTACCTGGAAAACTGGTTAATGCAATTCTTTTTTTTGCATTTTTGAATGACAGTATAGACTTCATTAAAGTTTGAGGTACCTGTACTCAGGTACGAGATAAGAAAACCTACTGATGGTGAATTTCATTGGCAACCTGCTGCAGATAAAGACCTCTTTATATGCGAATTCAGCAGAATTCCTCTTTGAAAAGTAAAAGGAAATTGTTGGGCGTAAAAGTAAATCTTTAAATTCACCGGCTACAGGAATCATCCCATGGAATGCCACTCCAGGAAAGGCCTGTGGATCCACGCTAGGTGACATCTGTAACACCAGTGAGGTAAGATGCCACACACACATTCCTACAGACATGATGTAGTGGAGGCGCACTTTGGTCAGTGTCATGTGTCCTCTTTTGCAGTTCTACCTGTCTTATCACCTGTACATCGTAGCGTGCGCTGGGGCAGGAGCCACTGTGATCGCTCTGGTAAGCTTTCCTTCAGCCTCCATCCTCTCTCTTTAGCCCATCTCTGCACGGTTTGTATCAGCAGGTCATGTGTCAAGTGCAGCTCTTCTCATTCTGTTTTGGTTTATGTAACCCCACGAAGAATGATTACACATTGGCTTCTACTCAGCCTCAGTTCCATATGCTGTTTACCATCTGCTTTGATGCACATGGCTGTGTTTGTATTTCAGAATGGGTGGGATAGCGTGCAGCATTTGCTTATGGTTGTGCTTTCATGACAATTGTTAAATATAATGCGTCCATTGCCCATGAGTAAGCCATTGTAAATTGACACTAAATGACAATATGCAGCTGAAAACTGACGGGTCACTAAACTTAAGGAGGTCACCAGCATGTGCTCTTACCACCTTCTCTGTTCTCTTCCACCAGCTGATCTACATGATGGCAACAACTTATAACTTTGCTGTTTTGAAGTTTAAGAGTCGGGAAGACTGCTGCACTAAGTTTTAGCCTGGTTGAAGGGTACACAGTGCACCGTTTGACTGTGCTGAGTAGAGACAGATGCCACTGATGACAAACTAAGAAAAAAAAACTCAGAAAGTAGAAAAGTCAAGATTATTTCATTAGTAATCACAAGATGTGTAAATAGCTGATTATCTGCTTCTTTTAGTATTTGGTAAGCAGGGCTTTTGTTTGTCTCGGGACACTTGTTGAAAGTCGTCCTCGGAGTGGGGTGCCGCTTAATCGACCGTTTCTTTTCTTCTTCGTAGGATTTGAAAAAACACACGCAGTTAGAAACCCACAAAAGTATTATTTATGCTTGTAAAATGGCAAGCTGTTTTTTTCGGCAAAAAGGCGCAATTTAGATGAGAAAAAACTAAAACAGTTGATCAACTTGCAGCGCAGCACCTGCAATCTGTTGTCTGCAGGAAGAGCTGAAATGTAAATTTTGCATGCATATCTGAGGAACATGTGAAATGTAACTGTAAGATACTGGTGCAGATTTTTATTACGCTGTAGTATTTTAAAAACCGGCATCAAGGGCTGATGGAAACGTAAAGGCCACAACAAATTCGTTTAGATGCACAATGTAAAGCTCAGAATTTAATCCATGTGGACGTATTTGAGGTGCACTCAGGCTTAATGTTTTTGATTTTAACATTTAAGCAGAAGATTAACTCCAGCTATACACTTCTGTAAAAGGACTTACAGCTGGGAAAAAGTAGCAGTTCCTTGTCCTTTTAGTTTTTCTTTGGTTTATTTTTCTGCCTTAAAGTATTGGTGCCAACCCAAAAACTAAGAAAAAAAAAACATCAGTATTTTGCATTTCTCACACGTTAGTTGCTAAACTTAACTAAAAAAAGAGACTGTGATTCACTGTTTTTATGCTGATAAGTCTTATGTTGACCAGCTGTGTATTGCAGATTTCAAAGTGCCTGCACCTCCCTACAGTAGCATTGCAAACATGAGACGTTAGGCCAGTACAAGGGGTGGACTTCTGCATGAGCTTCAAAGCCTCAGTGTAATTTCATGTATTTTATGAAATGGAAAAAAAAAATCTCTCCTATTTCAGTGTAGCATAAATGTAATTTTTCCTATGAGAGCTGATACTGTTGCATCAGCTAAAAACTTGTTTCATTTCAGACATTTTCCTTTATTCTTGATCAAAGTACCATTAAGGAGCCGTTTGTTTATTTTAACACTGAGCCTGCATGCTTAGCCTTTTAAGATTCTTTGATCTGTTTATAGTTACTTATACTCCATATTTCATATATTTAATTTTCTCTAAGTTTTAAAAGACTGTAGCTTTTACTTTCTATATAAAATAAACAATCTTTGTTTACAAAAGTATCCCGACCTGGTCTATTTCTTACAGTCTGCAGCAATATCTTATGATTCGGGTACTCTAAAGAGCACAGTCAGATTTCCATAAAGCAGAACCTAATGCTTTGCACTAACATTCAGCTTTTAAAGCTTGCATGCATCACCTCTGCCTCCTTTCATCACTCATCCTCTTGCCTTTTTAATCAAACTTCTGACTTACTTTGCATAGCAAGGTAGTACCTCCAATAAAAGCTGCATCTGATTAATTACAATAACCCCTTAACAGTTTTTAAGTCTTTTGTCATGTGTCGTTTGACGTCAGTTTAAAATCTGTGTGTTTGCGTATGTCCACGATTTACGTACTGTAGCTCTGACTCCTGTAGCTTGCTTTGCATCTCTGACATGCTCACCGGCCATCCACCTCACCCTTCTCTTCCAGATCCACTTCCTCATGATTCTCTCAGCAAACTGGGCCTACCTTAAGGATGCCAGTCATATGCACACCTACCAAGACATCAAAATGAAGGAAGAGCGGGAGCTGCAGGACATCACCTCACGCTCAAAGGAATGCCTCAATTCTTACACATAAGGATGTCACACACTCGTGATTCAGACCAACACACAGAAAGACAAACATAGAAACTGTGGCCAGCCACCGTGGCCACTTTGGACCAAGGCAACACTCAACTAAAATAACCTTCCAGCTGTGTACACTGTGCATCACTAACCCGGCTCCTAACAAACTAATGCATCAGTGCTGCTTTCCGCGCTGTTTCTGAACCGCCACGTAAAGGTTCTTTCATGCTGATTTCTTTTTTTATTTTCCATTTTGTAGGAAAATACAATTGAGTTCTGATATTCTTCTTGTCGATTCTCCCTGGCCCTTTTTTCACAGCCAGTGCTTGTGTGTGGATCTTGAAATAATGCACTGTTCTTAGACAGCATGTACCAACACACTACCTTAGGTTTGAAATAGGCAAGCCACATTTTGCCCGCAATAAAAAAAACGCTGTTATGCAGAACATGAAAGGCCTTACATCCGGTTTAATGTTGCCCACTGCACTGACATAATACAGATGATAATGTTTTCCAGTAAGAAGAATTTACTATGTACACCAGGTAAGATGTTGGTTATGTGTGCCCTCTAAAGCTCAAGTCCTTAATATAAAAGAATGGACTTCATAACCACATTCGTTAATCGCTTTAGTGTCAATTGGTTTTTAGAATTCCACTTTACTAGAATTAAGCAATTCAAAACATTAGTGGCCTAAATTGATACTACCTCAGGTGTGCACTAGAGCTAATGGACAATGCATCACAAATAATCCTTCTCCAACTAAAACACCAGTTTCAAAATCCTGTTTCAGATGGACTGTATGTGTTTGGATAGCAACAATGCGCATGTAGCATGCTCCTCAGTAGCTCTGCAACACAGTATTATAGAACCAGAAAATGCCATTAGAATAAGTTGCTTATTAAATGTGGATGCTGCCAATAAAGTGATAGAATAATGTTTAATGTTTTTAATCAAATACATTTGTCCATTTGCATTTATTCAGACAAATTAGAATAAAAAAAAACTGCCAACGATGAGACTGAGACCTCTCTCAATGCTAATACAGTAAACTGTAATGCATTGTAATACATGTACAATACCATCAAGATTTTGTTTTTTCTTTCTTTTTGAGCATTTTTTTGAGAATTAAAAGCATAACTACTTTAACTACTTTCTATGTACACTGCACTGAAAGCTGCTCAATAGTTTGAGTTTTCAGTGCGCAGGATTTGGATGCTGTCTTTTCAAATAGTGGAAAAACCTTTCTTTTTTAAAATTTTCTATACTTGTACTTTTTTTTATTTGAAGTTGTCATAATGTTTAAATAATTACTTGTGTAATCAGTTATTTAGCTTCATTACAGGGATAACTTGAAATGTAATTGTTGCATGATGACATCCGTTTCCAAGGGGACACATGTGATGTACAGTGGTGTACTGACATCGGTAGTAGGCAGCGTTTGCCCTTTACCTTTTTCTAACCTAACTTCAATTAACTCCTTATGTAGCTGATTAGTTTAAATGTCTTTAGACTAGTTTTAAAAATGATTGCTTTGTTTCTTGATAGCAAACATTTGTTTTTGTATTAGTGTCAAGGGCTTCCTAAAAATTCTTCCAATAACTTTTTATTTCAATTTGAAGTGTCACAACAACAGTCACTGAAACAGTTGAGCAGAGATACAAACAGCAAATTTAGCCAAAGTATGAATCCCAGTGCTGTCAAGTGTGTTAAACAATAAAGAGGCTCCATATGTACAGTGGCTGAGCGGGGAAATGACAGACGTCAAGATAGTGTATGTCATGTCGTTGTATGTTACGTTTCCTATTGAATAAACCAAAAAGTAATGAAAAGGCTGTCTAATCAATCACCGGGAAGACATCAATCAACCAAGAAGCACCATGTCTGACTGGAAACCCCTTTACGACATGGTACAATGGGCCTGATGACTGTTTCTATGAAAATAAATAAAATGAAAGTTATTTCTTGTTGTAATGTGTATCTTTATTGGTTGGTAGTGTACAGATTGTGGAAAAAATACTATAAATACAATCAGTAAAAAAAAGTGTAATAAAAAGCTTTCAAATCCTAATTTACAGAGTATGTCCCACTTCAGGCTTGACAAATTTACTGAGGCTTGTGTAACCAAGCTCCTGACTAAAGGCCAGCTGGCTCACCAGAAATCGTCCTCCTCTTCTTTGGGTGAATATGCTGCAATGCTGTGAAAACCAAATGGAGCTAATTAGCAAAAGCCTCCCCGGACAGAAACATAAAAGCCCAAAATAGAAAAATATTTCTTAAATTAACTCACTGTATTTCCAGAGCAAATAACAACATTAAAAAGATACCAGGAGATGAATAACCATAAAAGCAATTAAATGTTATTGGAGGCGGATTACATTTTTATTAAACTTTCCTGGAGCAGCAGCAGTATATCATTTAAATAAGGAAGTTGTTTTGACCAAAAGCCATGGATCTATTAAGATGCTATCTAACCAAGTCAAACATTCTAGGTTACCTTCTTTCTTCCTTCTCCGACAAACTCTTGTCTTCTGGGCTTGTTTGTCCCGTTTCCTCTCTTAAAGAACCCTATGGAATAAAAAACAAAGCTACATTTTTCTGGGCTGTTCCTGTAGGTATCTTACCGTAATTTTAAGGCAGGTTAAGTTACATGTGGTTTGGCACTTGCTTGCACATGTTGCTTCTCTCTTGCTTCCAGAACCATCTTCATGTATTTTTCCAGTGGATTTTCATCTTTCGACTCCTCCTTAAAACTATCTTCTTTTTCCATCTTCCCCTCTTCCTCTCCTTTTTTAACCTCTTTGTCCTCTTCATCCTCCTTTTCTGTCTGTTCCATCTCTTGCTGCTGGTTTGACAGAGCCAAAGTCAACATTCATTTTCTTCTTTGTGATGAACTTTTGAAAGAGAAGAGGATATTTAAACAGATATGATAAGCATTACCTCCTCTTTCTCCAGTCTTTCTAGTTCTCGCCATTCTCTCTCCAGTTCTGCTTCTTGCTCCCTCTGCCTTTGTTCTTCTCTTTCCTTTCGCTCCCTTCCCAACCTTTGCACGTCATCCTCTTTGGCTGATTCATCTGAAGTTTGTAGGACTTCTGATAAACATAGTGACAAACAAAAAACACGTCATTTTTCTCCATTCTTAAAGTAAGAATCAAACATACCGGACTAAAGGCATACAGTAAAAGGTTTCTGTTCTTGTCATTTGGGGTCAACCGAGATCAAGGGTCAATATTTGGCGGCCCAGCGACTTACCCGGCTGACCCCGCAAGCCTGTTGGGTCTTCTGGGAGGTCCTGTGGGCGGGAGGTGGCGGGGCCATCAGGGGCCTCCTCGGAGAGAGGGACAGCAGTGTCCAGGAGAAGCTGTGGAATGTGGCTGGGCTCTGGAGGGAGACGTGCACAAAGAGATCTTTTATGCCCCACCATAATGCAACAGGGCCGGAGGACAGGCACAGAATACATAATCAGCTGTCCTTCATCTTCACCATTGTGCAGCGCGGCTGAAAGGACACTTTGGCCAGTTTCACACACACTCATTAAGGAAGAAAACCCGCCAATCCAAAAAATTATGATCTCCACACCGGAAATGCCACACTTTGGAACAATTCCTTTTAAAACAACAAATAATTTCCTCTTGATAGATGAATATTTGGCCGCTCATTACACAATACAGACCGAGTGGTCAGAAATGAATACCTAAAAGTCTTTATATGCTAAAAAATAGAATATGCCTCTATTACAAATTCAACTGGTTCAATGGCAGTTCAAGAGGCAGAGCTGATCTAAACAGTTTCAAACATGCGTGCTTACATGGCTGTATGCCTGGTTCACAATACCTGACACTGTGAGATCTTCGAGGTTTATCTTCTCAGGTTGTGGTGAAGACTCGGAGCTGGAGAACTCAGATTGGAGCTTCGGTGGACTGAAAGACACGCGGGCAAACAGGAGGGCATTAGCTTTCGCCACTTTGGTTTTACATGCATTATGCACGATAGAGCGTCCTCTCTAAGGACAGCCCGGACGGTACCTGGGCTGGTCTCGCACTGTGCTCTTCAGCAGGGGGCTGTGAGGTGGACTCAGCTCGGGAGAAAAGCCACCCGTGGGTGAGACATCATAGAGGGGGCCACAGGGTTTCTGCATGTCTGGCGGCGGCAGACCGACTGCACCCGAACATCCATCTTCCCCTAATGGGGAAAAGACTGGTGTTAGAGGAAAATATTTTTCCCTGACCTGAATAATTAAATACTTTCTGAAAAACTGATTTAAAAACATATGGATGACTTCATCATCTTAGTGTTTGCACAGGACAAAGTACCTTCTGAGTTCTCTCTTTGAAGTTTCTTCCCGGAGGACGGCTGAGGTGTGCTGGATAAGTGGTTGTCTGAAGTTATACTTTCTTCCTGAAGTTGTCCACCGCAGAGAACTAAAGGTTCAGTCAGTGAGGGGTGAGCGTGGTCGATGAGGACAGCTGCCCGGGTGGGGTCGTGGTCCTCTGAGAAAGTCACTCTGCTCTGAGGATGTGCTGATGTGTTTCTGGTGTCATGAGACACTAAGAGGGGGGGCTGGACACTTTGAGGGGTGTTTGCTTTGACTGATGGAACTCTGTGGGCTGAATGGATGTGTGAGAGGTGAGAGTCCTGTTTTATTAGGGTGGACTTTGGTCGATATGACAGATACGCCTGATCTGGGGAAAGTGGTCTTGGGGGAAGCGTGTGTGAGACGGTGGAATTCGCTGCCCTCTGCTGGTAGCTCCTGTAGGCTTCCTCCAAGCACTCGGCCTCCCTCTGCAGCTCCTGGATCCGAGCCTTGGCTTCTACCACCAGCTCCATGTCAGAGTCGGGAGAATCGCTCCAGGCGGACTTGTGTCCCTGTGCAGGCCCACCTGCTTCACAGTGATCAACATAATCCACCGTGGGTCGAAATAGAGCTCTGTCCACATAGATGTCAGGAGGAACCAGCTTGTTGGCGCTGAGCTCCAGTACAGAGCGGTCAACAAGAGAGGGCTTGGGGTTACGCAGGACCTCGTTTTCAAGAGCTGCCACCATCGATTGAGCCGCAAAGAAGAAAGGGAAAGAGGGAAAACAGACAAGAGGGGGGTTGAGCACTAATACAGGAGACCGACCACCATAAAATAAAATGAGCTAAACTACAATTTAGGAAAGAAATCCATGTGCATCTACACTATACATGCAGTTTATTAGAGAGAGAAAATCTCTGGTTGAAAGGCGGAAATGAAGTGTCTATGTAAATTACGAGCATTGTGCATGGCAGAAACTATGACTCAGAGGGACAACATGCGAACATGCTGGTCACATCATGGGGCACCTTGTTGAGTTTGGCGGAGCTGCAGCTTGATGTCCTCGAGATGCTTGGCCAGCCACTGGGACCTCTCCTGGGACTCTGTCAGCTGAGCTTTGAGCTGAGCGCAGTGCTCTACCTGCAGAGAACAGGAAAGGACTTCTAACACAATAATGATCACTCCATGGAAGGTTTGGTGCAAAGTTTGGGTTGTTACACTTCTAAGAACCCACACCACAAAGCTTCATTAAGAAAAAAAAAAGAGAAAAGAAGCAAAAAAAAAAGGGAGAGATCACATAGTTTCCCACGATCAGCATTCTGCTGAGATGGACTGACCTCATTCTGGAGCTGTGCCTGCAGCACCTGTTTGTGGTTCTCAAACTCTTCCTCGTCCAATCTGCGAGCATTCTGCAGCCTCCGAAGCTCCGTCTGCAAGGCCAGCTCCTCTTTGGATGGTTGGAGCATTTCTGACAGAAATGCAAACAGATTTAAAAGACAAAAGGATGGATTATTATGACATTTTACCAAGGGTTTGCCCCTTTTATGATTTATGATTTACAGTTTTCCCCTTTTGGCTCCATGGAACAGACCAGTGTGAGATTTTCCCGACAAACGCTGCTTATTACCATGCTGCTGCCTTTAGTTAGTGACAAAGAGAGAGGCTCACTACTCACTTATCCCATCTCTACACAGGAGGAATACTGTATCCCTCAGAGAGAGGAGCATTTTTCTCCACTATTGGTAAAGGGAGCCCTCTGTCTCTGCTCACATTCCCTCCACTTCTCAACTGCCGTCCCTCACTGGCCGTCCACAAAGGTTCAATCACAGCACAGAGGCCCCGCATTGGCAGGCAAAACACACTCAAAAAGACTCAGTCAGAGGCAGCGGGACCGACTAGCATGAATGCTTCACAGTACACTAAACCTCCCCGTCACAATGGACCCAGACTCTAGCTCTCTGAATACTACACAGGAGCAGAATCTATTCCACATATGAAAGAGTATTAACAAATATTTGCTCTCCTTATATTTTACGGTAATAACTTTGAATTCTTACCACTTCTACTTATAAAAGGTAGATCTGAAAATTAAGGCTGGCTCTTAAGATACAGTCACTTCTCACCTGCATGAATACGCAGATTTTCCTCTCGGGCCTCCTCCAGCTGTTTCTGTAACAGCTGCAGCTGCCCCTGAAGCTCGGCTTTCTCTCTTTTTAAGCTGGGGTAGTCTCTGGTGTTCTCCAGTCTTTCCTTCATCAGCTCCTTCTGTTGAGTCAGCAGAGAAATCTGCTGCTGTGCCGTTTCGAGCTCATCCTGGAAAAACCAATAGGAGTGGCAAGAAATAAGAATTCAGGCTTGGAAAAATGACCCCATGTGGAAAAGAATACACAGAAATCCGATCTGACAATCAAAGCAACTGTAGCTGGAATTGTTAAAGGAAAAAAAAGAGGAGAAGATGGTTACCTGCAGCCGTTTGAGCTCTGAGCAAGCTCTGTTGTGATCTTCTAATCTGGCATTGATTACAGCTGACTCCTTTTGGATACGAGCAGTTTCCACTAAAACAAATAGAATTACATTTTTAAAAATGAATGACAGCTTAACTGCCTTTGATCTTGCACCAGCTGAAACACTTACCTTTGTTTCTATTTTCGCTTTCTGTGAGTTCTTTGGTTCTTTTGATGAATTCTTCTTTTAACTCCAGCTGATATCTAAGTTTTAATGAAAAAACAAAACAAGAAAGCAGTCCTTCAAACCATGAAACTTCTCTAAATAACAAAACAAATAAACATATTATTTGGTTTTGGTGGAAATCAGATCAAGATCAGATATCAAACCGAGTTTTAAATAACTCAGTAACCAACTGATTCAATGGAAACTGAATGTCCAAAGACATAAATTAACTTACTGCCTGAAGTTCTATTCAGATATAAATAATTTTCTCAGAAATCAATCATTTCTCTGAAACTACAGCGTGCATTTGACTGTTATAACATAACTCCACACAACAGTGACATCCTCTGGTCAGGGGTAGCCTACAAAATGTAACTTCATTTAAAAGTGAATAAACAAAAGGCTTTGTTTGACCATATGAGCTGAAACAAACCAGCTACCCTCTGTCTAACCTTGAAAGTTCATTCTTCAGCTTTTGGTCGTATGTGTCCTCCATCGTTTTCACAGCCAGCTCTCTCCTCCTCAAAAGCTCCTCGGTGGTCTTGACCTTATCAGCCTGAATCTGACACGTCCTGTAATCATAAAGGCACAGAGACAACCTCGATGAACCAGTGGACAAAACTGGAGGACAGGGGAAAAAAAGGTGTTTCAGAAAGATCTTACTTTTCGAAAGCCTCGTTCCTCATCCGCAGCTCGTTTTCTTTGCTACGCAGCGTTTCAATTTCTTTCAGCACGGACTGCCTCTGCATGTAGACATTTTTTTCTTCGATCTTGGTAAAGAAACAACAAAAAATAAACCCCATTAGTTGAACTGTCTGAGTTTTAGCCTTTTTTTAGCCTTTTTTTAAAGGCTGACATAGCACTACATGTTTTATTTTTTTTGTAAATACAGAAAAAAAATCATTCACTTTGAATTACAGACATAACTGCATTCTTAGTGTGCAGTTGGAAGTGGGGAGCCGATTGGGCTCTGAGTTGATCACAGAATCAGGAGTAGCATGGACCAAAGCAGGATCGGGTTGGTAAAACAGAACAGGAGACCAGTGCATTTCTTAAATTAAAAAAAGATAGACACAATGTAAAACATACCTCTTGCTGCCTCTGTATTCGGTCTATGGAATTCTTTTCTCGCTCCGCCAGTGCTCTTGCCTTCATTTCATAAGTTCTTTCTAGTTCTCGTTTCAACTTTTCAAACTCTTTATGAAACTTTGATTTCTCTTCCATCTTCACTTTGGCAATTTCAACTTCTTTAAAATGCTGCAGCTTAAAAAAATAAAGACATAACATCTCAGTAGATAAATGTAAGAACAGAAACCATCAACAGCTTAACATTGATTAAAGTGTGTGTGTTTACCTTTGTGTTCATTTCCACTTCCATCTGAGCTTCAGTTTCTTTTCTATATGTAGCCAGTTTGGACTGGAAGGAAAACATTTTGTCCTCACTGGAGCAAGAATGTTCATATTCCTTATCAATCATTTTCATCTTTTCAACTGTGAATGGTAAAAACAAATTATTAAATTTAAATGTGCCCAAGCCTATGTCGTTTTTGCTGATGAAGAATCGGGTCATCGTACCCAGAGACTCTCCATATCGTGAAAAGCTGGTTGTTTGAGTGTCCACATCATGGCCCTGGCTGTGAGTGTAGTGGTGTGCCAGGTTTGTTAAAAGGCTGAAAAGGAACCCTGCAAGGACAGTCGATGGATTATGGGGAAGGACTGAAGAAAAATAAATAGTTTTATCAGAAGACAAAGGATATTACACTTACCTTTGTCATTATTTTCAGTGTTCGACTGGACAAAAAAAAAACAGACATAAGAATGTAATTACAACATAGCTTCATGCTTAACAGATTTCTGCTTATTTATACTTTTCTATCTAAATCATCTCATCATTTACCAATAAGGTGTAAAGGGGGGAGGCAGGGCTGACTTGAAGACACTGGAGAAGATCTTCTTTCTTGAAAATCTGCCACAGACGAAACAGACGACAACCTCTTTAAATTGTTCTTATGAGCCTGTCCCTTCAAGCCAAAATAAAAGGCAAACGTACCTTGTCCTTAGACAGACCGCTTTCAGGGTAGAACACGGAGAGCGTGTATTCGTGTCCCGTCGAGCGGAGGTGATCCGCTACGATGCCGTTACAGGCTGAAACTAAACGGGGCTCCGAACTCACAGGAGCTGGTTGGAGACCTGTCAGAGACGGGGACCTTAACTCCTGGATGAGCTGATTCCTCAGCTGTGCCTGCAGCAGATCCAGAGAGGTGAGGAGGGTTAGAAACTGCACCCCACCTTTCCCCTCCGACTACTAAAACAACGTTGACCCTTACTTTGAGTGTGTCAAGTACTCCTTTGTTCTTAAACGTTTGATAGAGTCGTTTTCGCAGCTCCTCTGAGGATAACGCATCTTCCTTAGATGAAGACATAACTCATGGCTTTTGTGGAGTACTTACAGAGAAGCAGACAACAGATCAGCGCGATTGCAAACAGAGTCCTTTGCTTTATTTAAACTTTAGGATATCCTCCACTGGCAGAGCACGATTATATTCTCATTTATTAGCTGATTGACGAAGAATAATCGTCCCAGTGTCCCTCACAAAGACGTATGCCATAACATTTAAAACTATCAACGGTATTTCTGTTTTGGGCGGGCTCACAATTATGACGCAACGAACTGGATTTAAAATTTGTATATACTTTTTTTTAATCGCATATTATTCATACATTGTTGCTTGTCGTGGGGATTTTTAAAATGTTTTCTTTTTTTTAAAAACATTCGGAAACCAGATAGTGATTAACTTATTTTTGACCGTGACGGTCCGTCATAATTCTGCGACTGCACTTTCGGTTCTTCAGGAAGTAAATTACCTGGTAAACAAACTTCGGATTTTGCCTTTTAAATGTATCTTTACTATCCATACTTTTTATTTTAGTACCTTTCTATTTCAATATCCTAATGTTTATCGCGAACTAATCGCTTAACGCTCATGCTGGGCTCTGCTGTTTGCGTTAGCTCGCTAGCTGAAGGGGTTTGCAACTATTCTGGTGTTATTTACGACCAAAATTTGAATATTTAATCTATACACACATTGTCTTTGTTCCGAATCAGTTTTTGGACACTCTAGCTCAGCGAAGAAGAAGACGACACGATGTCTGGAAGCTTTTACTTTGTTATGGTGGGTCATCATGACAATCCTGTATTTGAGATGGAGTTCTTACCAGCTGGGAAATCAGAATCTAAGGTAATGTTGTGAAGTTCATTCAATCGAGCTCAGCACAGATTATTTGTAAAGTCCATGGAAGCGCCCGAAAATATTATAAATCATTACCGTGATTGGGTTTACTTTTCATTCCACGGCATACATTTTAAAATGCAGTCATAACACAGTGTGCAAGTATTATCACCAGTCATGATATTGCTTGATTTGATTTTTTTTTACTGACCACAGGATGACCACCGCCATCTGAACCAGTTCATTGCACATGCAGCCCTGGATTTGGTGGACGAAAACATGTGGCTTTCCAACAGCATGTACTTGAAAACTGTGGACAAGTTCAACGAGTGGTTTGTGTCAGCTTTTGTTACAGCAGGACATATCCTTTTCGAAAAACTTCCTTGCATTTTTTTCCTCTTTATTTTCACTAGTACTATGTATTTATGACTCAAAGATTTAGTGTGCACATTGTTTGAAACTTGAAATAGCTCCATGCTGAACAAGGTGTCTACTGTAATTACAGACGAGGAAAAATTTGGATTAGTCATATTTAAAATACGAAGTTCATAGGTGTTGGTTGTTGAATCTGAGGGGTGTAATTGGGCAATTTAACTTAAAGAGTTACTTTAAGCAAAGTACATTCATAACTTTTTATAACTCAATAATTATGTATTTACCAGCAAGTATTTCCTCAATCTGACAGTTTTTAGATGTATTGACGATAAATGGGCTTTTTCTTTAATTATTCTTCCTACATATAAGATTCATCATGCTGCACGACGTGCGACAAGAAGATGGGATCAAAAACTTTTTTAACGATGTGTATGATTTATACATTAAGGTAAGCCTGATTGAAGGAACTGGATACACTTTCATTTGGTTTGTTAAAAGACTTGGATCTAATAGTTTCTTTTGCTTTACAGTTTGCAATGAATCCTTTCTATGAAATTAACGCACCGATTCGTTCGACAGCCTTTGAGAGGAAAGTCCAGTTTCTCGGAAAGAAACACCTCCTGAGCTAATAACTTCCCACAAATGTCTGAAATGCATTTAGTCTGTTTTGTTGTATTCGAATGTCTCAGCATTATTGTTTTTCCTTTTGCACAAATGTAAAATGTGGTTAACAGAAAAATAATGGTTTGTATTAAATATTGTCTCCACTCATTTCTCTGGGCGTGCGATGTTTCCTTGCAGGGCAGTAAGCTAGGGGCTTATTCAGGTTTTAGCCCTGAGAATAAGAAATGGTCTCATCAATATTCATCCAGGCTTCAGAACAAACATACCAGACAATTTGGTTATTTATTCATAATGTAGCACAGCAGTCACACAGTTTCATCAATCTGAATGAAAGACAGATAAAGGGTAAGGACCAGTCACTTTTAATTATTAGGTTGTGGCTAAAGATCTTTAGCTGTAGATATAAAACAAGGTTAAGAGTGCTTCGAATATTATTATTTAAAACAATTTAAAAAAGAGATTCAGCAATGATGGAATAGGACAACCAGTATACCATTACACATTTGTTAGTGAAAATGTCTCCAGTGGTCCCCAGCGACTTAAGTTAAAGGCAACTTACGACATAATAAATGTTTCCAGAAACTCAAATATGCCAAAATGCCATGCATGTTAAGATTGCTTTCATGTTTATTACCTGGGAGGAGTAATGTATTCATGATGCAGAAATGCGTGCAGACAAAAACCTCAAGGTGCAGGAATCACAAGCCTCAATTAGTTAATAATACAAAGTAGTGCCTTAGCTACTTCATCATTTTTAGAATTAAGGTTATTGGGAGGTAAATAGTATTCCGATCATATTCTAAACATTTATATTAGTAATCACTCTGTACAATCACAATTGGGCTCATGTTTAGAAACCCTATGAAATTGCACTCATCAAGTAGTAGACATCTAAACGCACAGTTTGAAGAAGCATCATTTTTTCTAAACGATTTTTACTATTTGAAAGACGATCACTTCTATTGTCCAGGCGTGTTCTTGGGCCACATCAAAAGTGTTGATTTATCTCACTCTTTCAGAGCCCGCTTTTGAACCTTTGTAGATCTGAATCACAACCAGACACAGATGGATTTAGTGTTTTTCTGTATCAGAAGCAGAAGTCCCCAGAAAATCAGTCTCATCAAACATTTGACAAATCAAAAAGGCCAGTGGAAGAATTTCTTTAAATAATATGTTACGGTAGCACTGTGCACCTACGGCCTCGTCACTCAGCAGGCGTGGCGGCGGTGTTGGCTTTAGTCCCGGGCGTTATGAGCAGCAGCTGGTGGCAGAGCGGGGCTTTCTGTGCAGCTTCACAGTGTCCGTGGGGATGAGATGGTCCGTTCGCTCGTCCATTGCCAGCACTCTGCGCACCGCTTCCTCAAAGGCCACCGCCACGTTGGTGGCATCCTTAGCGCTGGTCTCATAGTAGGGGTACTCCCCATTCTCCTGACACCACTGCCGAGCCTCCTCAGTGGACACCTGCCTCTCGGTCACATCCACTTTGTTGCCCAACACCACGAACGGGAACTTCTCCGGCTCTTTGACGTCGGCGTAGTAGATGAACTCCTTCTTCCAGTTTCCCAGGTTGAGAAAACTCTGGCTGTCATCGACGCTGAAGGTGAGCAGGCAGCAATCGGAGCCGCGATAAAAAGGAGTCCTCAGGCTGCGGAATCGCTCCTGGCCAGCGGTGTCCCAGATCTGTAGGGTCACCTGGTGGCCGTCCACTTCAAGGTCCTTGTTTAGGAACTCAACGCCGATGGTGTGGAAGAGGTGGGCGTCAAACTTGTTGGTGACGTAGCGATTCATAATGGAGCTCTTCCCCACACCTCCATCACCCAGCAGGATGACTTTCAGCAGGGATGTCTTTGTTGACATGGCTTTTTTACTCCCGGTGGATCACACAAAAACAATATACCTAATGAAAAGACGCAACACAAGTTATGTCTTAAAGTAATACAGAACATCAAAAGTCCCACTCAGCAACAGAAACAAAGTTGGGTGTAGGTGCTGTGCCTTTTCCTCTCACCTCGGATTGGTTTTGAACTCCTTCGGTAGGTCAGATCATGTGCTGTAAGCCCCAATCTTAGGTCACATGCTCATTTGTTTAGCGTCGATACGTGGTGCCATGTAGATAACTTTCAATCTGCTGAAACACAACAACAAACAATCGGTTTGCTGATTAACAGACGGTCCAGGACAGAAGCTACGGATGAAAAGTCCAGAGGCACCAAAACACTGAGTCACCCAGTGAAATGAAAAGGAGAAAGGTAAAGCGCTACAAAGTGAACAAGAGATAAAGGTTTAATATAAATCACACTCGATAACGTTTCTGCATTAGCATTCAAATAGCAGAAATCTCGATAATCTGGACACATTGCTAGTTATTAGCTATGCTAAGCTAGTAACAAAAACAAGGTAACAGCTGGAATTACATTAATGTAACATCCTAAATGTACTCGTCAGATTTTCTATAACCGACAAGACTGCCCCTAACCTACCTTACGGTTTTAGCCCCGCACTCGACAATCCAACATTCAATCTGTCAAGGAACAGGGGCAATATGATTTCTTTCATTTGCTTGACAGTTCCTCGATTTGGTTCGGCTCGAGATAACGTCAGATCGCAGCGCTTCCTGCTGAACTCCCAACACACAATGCTAACGCAACCGGCTAGCTGCTAATAACTAGCTAACGATAGCCACAATGGACACCAGTGGTCATGTGATCGCACCACAGAAATATAGACAACGAGCAGAGGGCTAATGTGTCTTTATCTTAACCCTTCAACGTGTAAAGTTAAATCTTTTTCACAGGAAAGTCTCTATATATTTGAATAAATAACAGAAATGGAAGTCGTCTAATAAGATACAAACGGCAAAGATGGTCACGTTGATGTATTATCAGAACCTCACCACCAGGAGGCGACATTAAGCTGGTCGTTCCCCTGTATTCCGAATGCGAAAACACAAGCGTCTAATACTGCCAGTTTGTTCTATTGGTAAGTTAATTAACCATGTGAAAAATACATTACACCCTCTTTAATTTCAGTGTTTATCTGAGTTGATATAAATCTGTAATTCCAGCCTCAGATGAGCCACGAAAACACATCACACTGTTTCAAAATGGGCTGCAAAAAAACTTTAAGCAATAATTTTCCTCAAAACATTAATATCAATGCTGGTATGTTTGGTTAAGGATAGGATAATTTTCCATTGGGTTGGCCCCATGACTAACAAAGAAATTCTGATATACAGGAGAGTTCATGGTCGGTCTAGTGACTGATCCCTGTCTGGTCCTGTAGCTTCGAGCCAAAATGATCACTGCACCACAACTCTGGACGTTTGGTATGGGATGTTTATGTTGATATGTTTGGGTGTAAATTTCACCAAACATACCTCCATGAACATATACAGTATGTATAGTCTTTCCTGAAGAAATAGCTCCAGAATTGTAGCGGTTTGTTTATAAAATACCATGTGCAGTTTTTTATGTGGCCATAACATCATAATGTTGAATGAGAGCTTTAATTTTTTTATGTAATATTTTGTACAGGGCAATATGCAAATTAAAGTATAATAAGAATAAGATCAAATTAATTACAGGCAAAGTAAAAAAAAAACAGCTTTAATGTACTGAGACAGAATAATATCAATTCAAACTTTGCAAATGTATGTACTGATACCTTATAGCATAAAAAAACAGCCTTCAAAATTGTTACTCATCTAAGATTTTAGATATGTTTTCATCTAAGATTTCACATTACATGTAATTGATTTTTTTGGTTTACTTCAGTAATATACAACAAGGGTTAAAGCACAATACTGTTTGACCATACTGCAGCCAAAGTTAGCTCTTTCTCCTGTTCCTGAGATCTGAGTTATCTCTATTGTCCAAGACTGACTTGAGACTTTAAAATGAATTGTTTGGCAGAACTGCCTGATGTAGCAGCTTAGTGTTAAATAAAACCTGCATGCTTTTATTGAACATAATTATTTTTACTGTGTAGCTTTGCTGTTTGGGAAGACAAATAGGAATATTTAATGTTCCTTTTAGTGTTGATCTGAGGAGGAGATTCTTAAAAGACTGGATCTGCATCCTCTTGACAGGACCCTGAGGTCAGCACAACATTGTCCAGCCCAATCTCCCCTCCAATGCCTTTCCCACGCTGAGCTTCAAAGATAATCTGAAAGATATTTTGTTAATTGCATTTACTTCACTGTTTGACAATAACGTCTCAATAAAATGTCTCAAAGAGTGACTGAATTACTCACAGACTGTGGTGCTTCCTCTTTCCAGGCCACGGTGAGTAGCTCTGTCTGCCAACCCTGATCTCTGCTTTGGCTCTGCTCCCACACTGGGTAAGCGTTGTTATCCAGCAGCACCCTGAGTGCGCCCACATTAGAGCCCACAACGCGATAGTCGAAGGTGAGGCAAAAGCTGCCCTGCTGGGGCCGGTCACTGAGAAGCAACTTCAACTTGGCCACCTCCTCCTGGTCCCCTTGGAGCCCACTCAGGGCCATGTAATACTCAGTTCCTGAGAGAGAATATCACTTCTGTAAGTAGCTTCATCCCAACAGGAAAAGATTCACTACATACCAATATTAGCTTTTTTTTACCCATATCATGATAAGCCACAATCCAGTCCATGTCGTCTGCCTTGTCTTGGACCCATTCACATGCTCCCTGATCAAAGTTGCAGTCCATGAAATATTCTAAACAGTAACGCACACCATGAGTCACAAAAAACAGTCTTAAGTTACTGTGACATTCAAATATGTATTTCATTACCTTCCTGAGGTGGTGTAATTTCGATTTCTTTCACTTCTGTGGCTGGGCCGAACACTGACTCAAATTCCTCAGATACTGGGTTTCAGATGTAACAAAAGAAAAAGAAGGGACATTTTTAAGATTGTCACATACAAAAGTTTTGCTATGAATTCATACACTGTACACCCTGTGAAACACTTAAACTGTGAAAGCCTAAATAACTGTAAATGTAAAAAAACATACACTATGGATATACTTCAAACTAGTAACTCCTTATCCTGCTTCTTTCTACTAGACTGCTTTGTGAGTCAGAGCAAAAATTGATATGATTTTTTTAATCTCAATGCTGTGGTTGTTTTAAAGCAGATTTCCATCCATGCATTTTCCTCCGCTTCCTGAGGTCAGACCTTTGAGGCCACAGATTGAGGAGGGAAACCCAAACATCCCAACATAACCAACACCCCCCAGATCCCAAGGCATTCCCTTGCCATACAAAATCCATCCATCTAGTTCTGGGTCTACCCTGTGGTCATTCCACTGTGATATGCCTCCATAGGGAGGCCAGCAGGAGGTATCTGAACCAGATGCCTGAACCACCCCAACTGACTCCTTTTGATGCGGCTTTACTCCAAACTCATTTCGGATCCTTTGAGTCCGCACCTTACATCAGAGTCCTCCCATATTTTAAATCAGATCTCTTTCTTAAATTTATAACGTAAATTCTTTAAAAATGCTCCTTAAATTTTGAGTTCTAGTAAATACAAAACAACATCACTAAATATAATACATGTTGCTAATACATCAACTGGAATGACATTTTTTGCATGCAAAAATAATACTTTTGAATTGTAGTTTTGTGGCATTAGAGAAATCTCATGGAGGCTTTTGTATTTGACAATAATGGGAAAGTGTTTCTCTTATTAAATGTATTTCAGAGTAAAATGGTAAATGTCAGACATAGTTCACAGATGAAATTACAGTTCTGAAAAAAAGATTGCAGTTTCAGAGATTTTCCAAGATTCCAAAATGATGTAACAGCGAGAGAGGGGTTTTTAACCAACAGGTGTAGACCTGTCCCCCTGTTGCTAAACTCTTGGAATGGAACCATGGCACCCCCCTTGGCCAAGAATTTTAGAGCTCCTGCAACAAATCACCTTCATGAAAAGCAGCCTTTGACACTCAGACGAGTGACAGCTGGGGTTATGAACCTCCATCAGTCAGGATGGTCTGGAGTTAGAAAGGTCTAGATCACTGATGACAGACTTCCCTACAAGAAGTCAAGTCTGTTAGCACAACAGCTGTTTGGGGGGAAACATAATAAAAGGCTTGGAGGCTTTGCAACCTCCCTCACCCCCCTCTCAGGGGATGGGAAGCTGGCTCAGGATGAGTTTTGTCTTGGGGTTCTCACATGCCAGAAGAGTAAAATTCCTCCCTGGAGGTGATGGATGTCTCAGGGCCTGTCTCCTCTTGCTGTCTCCGTTCTAACACAGACTCTTGTGTTTTCACAAGGATGCAGCTAATAGTAAAGGGAGCATTAGTTGCAATGTTTCTCACTGAAGTGAAACACAACATGTTACCCCTCATAATCAGTCGGATAATTATTTTTTGTGCATTTCAAAGAGGGTCTCCTGATCTGTTTGGCAATGCTGTTAAACGACAAGCCAAAAGAGTCTAACATGGAAACTGAAGCAACAACTGTCCCTAATCTTTGGTCAGGGTTTTTTTTGCTGAGTTTTTATGTTTATTTCAGTGGCCAAATGCTGTACAGCCAGGATAGTCTGGACCACCCAGAGCATATTTACTGCAACACAAGCAAATAAGAAGACCCTTACTGAAAACATCTCCTCTTGGATTGAGCTGATTGTCTTCCTGTTCCACCTCCTCTTCTTCCTCAGGATATTCTTCTACTCTTTCCTCTTTTGGGCTGCCAATGTAGACCTCTCCATCATAGTCAAAAGGTTGCTGGGGGATCCTGGGAGGCGGCGTCACGACTGGTTCGGGGATGGCATTTCGGATGTCCTCATAGCTCAGCTTACCTCCCAGAATCCCGGGCCTCACTTGGGAGTCTGGGATGGCTGCAGGCCGGAAAAGGAATCAGGTTAGACATATGGATCTGTAATCACAAACAGTGTTTTACCAGGACTTAGGTGTGTGTTTTGTTTATATGTACTTAGCAGCTGTAGTTCTTATTAATTACTTCCTTGCAGTTACTTACCAGTTCATAGATAAAACACTTTTCCACATGAGCACAAACATTACATATACATGCCAAGACAACATACAGGACTACTAGACATCATGCAGCTGAAGCACTGATGGGACACTCATTCACACACGCAACCTAGAACAATGATTTAAACGCACAAGCATTTTATTGTGAGCTCTGTCATGCCAATGATTCTAACTTGTATGAAGTTGGGGATGCTGTGGACATACAACATTTTCAGCCATAAGCATGAGAGAAAGATTTTGAAGTGTTCATGAAAGCAGTCAGGCGGAAGGGATGAATGAATAAGGTTTCTGGGAAGGGAGTGAACTCCTGACCCTTGACTACGCAAAATCTTACCATTGAAGGAATCATCTGCACTGCCTTTGTCTCCATCCCAGGAGCTCTGATAAAATGGCTTGACTACAAAAAATAAATGCATCTTCATTTATGTTGAAACCTCCGACCTGCGGTCTTGATACTATTTGGCCACATAAAACAGGCTTGGTTTTCTGGGCTTGGTTCACAGAGTCTTTCACTCTCCCTGTTCCTTCCATACAAAGCAGTGTCGTATTTGCACAGGTGTGTTTTCAATCTGTGTATATTTAATGTAAAAAAAGAGAAAAAGGAGTGGAGTCCAAAAAGCAGGAAACTACCCTTGCCAGGACTTCTGTTTTCTGATGGTTAAATGGTCTAAATGGAATATGCAGCTGTAAAGCTGCTCCTGACATATATTACTGACTACCTTCATCTGGTAAGGGCACCGACATGTGTTTTTAAAATACTAAAACACGCCTTTAAAACGAATAGTGTCGTAATTCCGTGTTGCAGATCTTGGATCTCACCAGAGCATTCAAAGCCATTGCCTCTGAAGCCAGACTTGCACCTGCACTTATAGGATCCCTGAGTGTTCAAGCAGACAGCATGGTGGCTGCACTTGTGGGTGCCGGCTGCACACTCATCGAGGTCTGGAATCGGAGAAAAAAATCCTATAAGTACCATCAGGAGTAGAAATTGACTACAAATATTTCAAATGAACAAACTTGAGCACCTTACCTACACAGTCATATTTGCCGCTGACATATTTCAGGTCATAGCCATCCTGACACTTACAGTAGTAGCTGCCAAATGTATTTACGCACTGTCTATTGAATGGGCAGAGGTTCTTCCCAGTTATGCATTCATCAATATCTGAGGATAAACAGAGAAAAAAGGGAATTTAACAGGTACAAAAAGATCAAGTGAAAGCATATTATATTTTCCACTAGACTTTTATTATTAGTTATATATGAGGGAATGTTGCATATTTTCTAAAATATGCTTAGAAAAATTACATTCAATCATGAAAATATATTCTTTCTGTATCATTATTGTTATTATGGAATTTCCACCTCTACACAGCTACAGATGTTTCCTATTGCCTGGCCAGCGGAGTGCCATCAGATCCCCGTGGAGCCATTAGTTACTCACTGCAGCAGCCCAACCCTGATAATCACCAACATGATCCCTCATTCTTTTGTCTGCTCGTTACTGCTAAAGCTCAACCAGCCAGGTGGGAAGCAGTGATATGGGAAAAGTAATTTTACTAATAGGTTTGAAAACAGAAACGGAAGGCATTTTTTTAATGGGTTTTAAAACTGAAATAGTTCTAGTATTTAGACATCATATAGACAAAAGAAAGTGATTAATACATTTAAAATAAAATAATTATATTGGAAACAAAGTTTCTATTTGTCGTTAACATCTGAAAATAATGAACTCTGAAGCTTCTTGGCTCCACCACAGTCTGCCTTTTGAAATACTTTAAAATTTCCCCTGGGACTGATTAATCATTTTAATACAGTAAATATAGATATTTTTAATTTATCTGTTGATTAATTCTAAAAGAAAATTTCTTCTTTGTATTACACATTAATCTTTAGAGTTCTTGATCAATGGCAGTTTTTCAGTACTCTTTATATTTGCCATCCTGTGTGATTGTGTCTGTTTGGCTCATTCTCAGCTCAAGCAGCTTTGTGGGAAGATATCAAAACCTAATTGGAGCCATCTTTTACAAGCCAAGCATGCAAAAGCCATGTAACATAATCCTCATAGAATTTTTCCAGTATGTAAATACTCCAAATCTTTGTTCCTTTTTTCCCTACTCCTTGTTTGGATCATATAAAGGCTTGTTTGTATCACACTCTGCTTCCATGTATTCGACTATTCGATACTTACAAAGTTTTTATTTTGTGATTTTGGCTACTCTTACCTATACATGTTCGCTCATCTTGACCCAGTTGCAGACCTGATGACGGGCAGAGGCAGCGGATCTCCCCTTCTACTTCCTCACATCCGTACTGACAGTGAGCCAGAGAGCATGTCCTGGAATCTACATGCACCGACACAATGGGGTTTACACGGTCAAAAATGCACACCAGCTGAGGGGTCAATTTCAAAGTTGCCACTTGCTGACCACACTATAGACTCACTGGTGCAAGCTCCATCAGGCATTAAGGTGTATCCGTTGAGGCAGTAGCACTTATAACTGCCGTAGGTGTTCATGCAGCGATGCTCACAGGGTCGAGGTTTCAGGCCACACTCGTTCAGATCTGGAAACACAAGCCAACTTCATTTTTGCCCGTAACACCACACAATATGAAAAGACCTCTGTTAAAAACTTAACTGAAACACAACTGTCATCAACTGGAAATTGAGATAATTTCCGACCTATTTTTACTTGTGTTTTTCTGACCTTCTTCACTGAGCTCAAATACCCACCTTGATTGCATGTCTTTCCGGAGTATCCAGGGAAACACTTGCATTTGTTGGGGCCAACACACTCTCCGTGCTTGCAGCCGTGGTCACACTGAGCTGGTAAAGACATTTAACGTGAAGAAAGTACCACAAGAAATGTCAGCGGTGGCAAGTGATGGATTGTAGTCAAACCACACATTTCCATTTTATTTCTTTTTATATCTAGACTATCATTTCCTCCTCATTTTCTGGGTTCGGAAAATTTCATGAGTGGAATTCATAACAGGATGACAGGATGTTTTTCTTTCTTTGCAATCTAAAATGTTAACTTATTGGTAATTGATTTCAAAGAGAATGGTAGGACAGTTGATGTGTGTTTGTTGTGGTCCGTCATTACCCTCACACTGCCCTTTATTGTTTTTCTTCCAGCCATAGCAGCACTCCAGCCTCCTGCCATAGCGACACACACCCAGTTGGTTTCCACTCAGGACTTGTCGGTAGTGCCTTTGTAGAAGGAAAAACAGAATAGAAGAAAAAAGTCAGTCTTATTATTTAGAAGCAGCTCTGGTCTAACAACTGATGGTGTCCTTGTTAACAGAATGTTTTCTCAGAGGCACTAATGCAATACTGATAAAAGTTGTAACTCATTTAAAATTCATGGTATGGACCTACATTCTCAAACGCATTTAGGTCCTCTATAACTGCCGGCTTACCACCATCCATTTTTAATTAATGCCCTGAAAGCAAACAACCAGTACAAAGTGTCTCCTTACAGGCTTGTTTAGTGATGGAAGTGGGGCTCCCTGTGGTGCAGCAGCCAGCTGACAGGATGTAAGCCACATATGGGGAACACTAATCAGACACTTCCCGTGCTGCTCACTGATATCGCATGCACAACTCCGTTTCATCCCCACTTTGATCCTTCTGTGGATTTTGTGAATCTTGGGGAAAGGTTTTTAATTTACTTCAGTTAAGAAACAGAAGGCAAAAGGGGTTGCATATCAGTTTTACACTGTTATTCTGTTATATTAGATTCTATTGTGCCAGTGACTTGATAAGAGAGGAAAAAAGTAAGAAATGCCCCGTGAAATTCAAATGTAGATTTGAGTGTCATTGTCTTCAGGTTGAGGCTCAAAGCAGAATTCTAATATCCCAGATGTTCTCTTTTTGCAGGGGTTAGAATCCTAAAAACAGATTGGGCTCCGGTGGGACTGGAGGAATCTGAGACTTGATTGAAATCCACCAGAATAGCTCACAGGAAAGCGGCACCTAAGCGTGACAGGTGCTCTTCAGTTATTAACAGTTGCTGTGCCACATTTAGCCGTCAGACACCCTTCGTCCTCTGTTTGCAGCGGCAGCAGAGCGAGCGTGATATTCAAACAACAGTTTGCCAAGAAAAAATTAAAGCACCCGTGTTGGTGTGAAGCACAGGAAGTTATGTTACTCTTTAAGCCCCACTTCCAATGCGAGTTTGTGGAGGATCTAACATTTAAACATCCAGACTTCCCGCAATCAAAGTTTGACTTAATAGCACAAAAGAATCTGTCTGACATCATGCTTAAGCATCTTCTAAGTCTTGATTGAGTTAATCCACATAAAGTTTACACTTGGTGCAGGGGCTTAGACACAGCAAACAGCGGCACACAGCATCACACACTCTGTTGCTCCGCTTGGCTGACTTACCTATGAGCTTCTGTGCTGCCAGAGGAGATGTGGAGCAGGAGAAAAAGAGCAGCGATCCCAGTAAATGGCTGCATGTCTGGCACCGTGAGCAGCCGTGCTGATTAGATTCGTATTCCAGGGGGGGCGGCTTTGGTTTGAGAGTTCTCACTATTCCTCTCAGGGTTTTATTCTTATTAAATAGCTGAGACAGGAACAGGTCTCAGTTGAGCTTTCACACAAAGCACGCAGGATTTCATCTATTCCCAGGGAACAAAGTCACAAAGTTTTTTATCCAGGGTTGGTTCAAGAAATATCTCGTTCTCTTTTAAGTGCTGCTGCTACAATACGTGTCCCATAATTTGCTTCTCCTGTTTCCCCCCCTGAAATTCCAGAGGTGGGTTGACACTGTGAAATGACACTGCTCTGAGACAGATAGGTGGTGACTTTTGGTGGTAGGAGTTGGTTTGTAAGTGGGGGTGGGGATTATGTTTGGGATTCTCCTTTCTTTACTTAAACCCTGTGCAAACCACATTAAAGTTCGAGGAAACTAAAGGAAAATTTCTGTTTTGCGAGTTTAAAGCGAGATCATGCTGTTGACTTTTTCTTTTCACAAATGCTGTGCCATAAGCTTTACCTGGGCAGTTTTTTTCTTGCATTTTAATAATTAGTTGCACTGGGTAATTGTTGCACCCAGCCATGTTTAAGCCTGCCATTAGCAGCTGCAGCACCTTTTGATGTCTTGTTCATAGGTTGCACATAAAAGTTTGCTCTCTCAGACATGTTTATTCTACGTTCAGCCATAAAATGTGTTTAATGAGTTTGCACACTTTCCAAGTCAGCCCTGACATCTGGTCCTGCTTATTCGTCCCCTCACAAATAGGCAGGTCGTGTTTCTGTGGGAGCCGCAGGATTCGGTTTACATTCGTCGATGAAATGTTTCTTTCATGTTTTGTCACAAGAGATAAACTTCTTTTTTTTTGCCATGAAATGTGGCATCTGTGTGCAACTCCGGGAAAAGGGGCTTGACAAAATTATTTCAAAATGGCTATGGAAATATATTTTGGATGAAAAGGAAGACTGCGGTTAAACACTCTAGTTGAACAATATAAAAGAGTGATTATTCTGCCAGACATTCGGTTCATTCTCCTGTCTGGAAGGAGGGCTGCTTTAGCCAGCTAAACTGTGGATATATCTAATTTAGTTTGATACTGTGAGAGGTCAAAATAGTTTTTGGCTGGAATGCTTCTATTGTTGCACCCATCTATTTCAGAAATAATAGAAATTTCATTGTGCAGTGGGTTGGAATAGACAATGGTTGTTCAAATTTAAGCAGAAACAGATCCACTTTTGGATGGTTGACCATTGACAAACTCCACAGACTGCCATCCTTTTAGAGCAGTCTTTCTGTTGTGGCAGAAGTAGTTCTATAAAGTTTCTTTCATTGTCATCTTGATTTTTTTTATTATTATTATTTTTTTATGAATTCTTTATCAGAGAAGTAAAAATGATGAAACTGACTTTTGCAAAAGCTTTAAAATAATCCTTAATGGATAGAAGAAGACAGGCATTTATTAATTGATACTATTACTATACTATTTATACTAATTTAATGAGCTGCATAATTCCAATTTTCCCATGGCTTATATTGTTGAATTTAGTTTAGAATAAAATATTACTGCACAAAATTGAAGATGTTCATTGGGATTAAAGAGGAATCCTTTAATCATGTAATACTGTTTATACCTGTGTGCCCTTCTCAATAGACTGCAAAGAGAGCAGTCATTCAGTGCAGTGATAGTTCTCTTTTTTACTGATTAGCAAAATGTTTAATTTGTTACATGGTCTCCTTGCCACATCTGACAGTTCTTGGAGAAGCTCTTGCAACTCTACATAACACATAAACACATGCACACACTTGGCCTGCCATTTCTAGTTTGCAATCCGACCCTGTATGGCTGGCATCTAAGGCATGTGGGTCATGCATGCTGTACATTAGAACTGCTTCCTTGGTGCTGCGGTGCTGGCTGCGTGCACTACAACTCAAGTCTGTGTTTGGGAGAATATGACGAGGCATTCTCTGCCACCTCAACAGCGCCTTCAGCAGTCAAGGCTAAAAGCTTGGCTTTTGAAGCAAGGGTGCTATTTTTCTTTTTTTTATTAGAAATGGCAAGGGAGCACTTTTGGGTCATGTTGAGAACTCCAAATGTTCACCACAGGTGCCTAAATGCTTCCTTTTCACACATTGTATTATATTTCACAGCTGGTAAGAAGATGATACTGTCCTACAATTCCTCACAGATGCAACATTCAAAGTGATTGACACTCACCATGCTTTTACACTTACATGAATCTTTAAGGTAATTTATCCTATTCCTTTATTTGACATGATGGATGCACTTACACATACATAGATAATTAATCATTACTATTTAACAGTACTCTGGAACCCTGTCCCTTCGGATGTTATGGATGAAAGAGTTTATAAAGGGCTATTTGTATAGCTGTTTCTTTCTTAGATGAAAATAATTCTTCTCATATCATGAGTGAATGAATTCTAGATCAAACAGCAAAGAGAAGAGCATCTTATTTTCTTCTATCCCAAAGGTCATAGGTAGAGTTGATACACTTATAATAACAAGCTCTGATGACAGCAACTTGACCTGACACCATCATTTAACTGATTTAGAAATTTCACCCAGATATTAAACTCTCCAAGTAAACATTACCCAGAGGGCCTGATTAAATGTGTGTTGTGGTGTTGTTATTTTTGTCTGTCACCAGAGGTCTCTCTCTCCATGTTATTTGAGTTGACTAGAGGAGGCTCCATTATATCTGGGTGGGAGTAAGACAGAAAAAAAAGACGTTTCCCTTCTCTGCTGTCGTTTTGTTCGTAAATGTATTGAACCAAGACAGATCATGCCTTAAACGCACTTGACTCTTTTGTTCCCTTATTTTAGCTGAGCAATAGTCTTTCTTTAAAGCTGTCATTTAATTGAGCTGCATGTATTTAAAATCAAGTGTGAATTTTGTTTAATCCATACCCTTTTATTTGAATCTTTTAGAAACTATGTCAGAAAAATCTATCAGAAAAGTCTATGTGGGCATGTATATGCCCACTTATATTACATATTCATTGTGGGTGCATTAAGCAAGGCTTATACCCTAAAAGGAGAGACAAGGCTGTTGAAGAGTTATTTTGAAAGTTGTGTGTGTACACAACCACATCCTGCCTTAACAGAGCAAGAAATGCACTGCAGACAATACTAACTGCAGAGCAAATGGGGCCACTGCTCTTCAGACGTAGTGCAGTTTATACCGCTCGCATTAATGTCCCAAGCACATTTGAAGAAGCTGCGTTCAGCTTTAATCGCAGGGCTTCCCATTAGATCAGCTTTATAGAGTATTTCAAGAAAAGGATAATCATGTGGTATTTCTTAAACTGTATTTCACTTGAAGTTCTGGAGTGGTTTAATGAAGGGAGCTGTCGTCTCCCCGGGGAAACACAGAAGTGAACAAAATTAGAAACGCCTCTAAAAGTTCACCTGGCAATTGTGCTCCCATTCATTGAACTTTCATTGCTGTAATTATACACTTCCATCCACGTCTGGGTCAAACTAGACGCAGAAAGAAAACAGAAGATTGGTGAAGTAGGTAAAGGTCAGTTTGAACCAGCTGCAATTGGAAAGACTGGGCTGAATCCATCTGAGAGTAGCAATCAACCACTTGTGCACCACAGCCTTAATCAGGCGCTGAGCTAGATGCGTGGTTTAGCCTTAGCTGGACATTGATTCAGTTAAAATCATTGAAATCTGTTGTACTGGCAGAGTTACATGCTTCCTGTGTTAGAAGATGTCACTCCCCTGTTTTTGTGTGATTCAGTTGTGGCGACTTCTTGTAAGGGACTTCCTACATGCAGGTGCTAACCAGCATGACTTATAATTTCCATTGCAATTTTCCCACATTTTCAACTCTTTTTAATTAAGATGGAACATACAGGTTTGCACTTCCATGCCACATAACTATATCAAAATTCTGAAGACCTTTCAACACTTTGTAACAGCTTCAACAATAAAGGATTGGACACGCACTAATGTTTGTGGGTAAATATATAATTTTGGTCAGCTTTATTCTGTTTATTCTGTAACCTTAACCCTAACCCTTGATGTATACGACAGTATAACTTTGAATTAAGTGCACTGGGAATCTGAGTTTTGTCCACAATCAGATTTTTATATAAATCAAAGCTAAAGTTTCTTTCAAAGATAAAAATGATTTACAACACAGCATCCGCTTGCACTTTAATGTTAAAGGGGATTCAGCTTACAGTTAAACTTTGATGATCAGAGTCAGTACCTGCACTCTGTTCCTGCTTTACTGGTAAGATTTGTGTGTAATTACAGAACTGTGTCTCATAAAGAGGCTCCACCTCACCTCGGTGCAATGCTCATGTAAAGAGCGTGCCTAACATGATAGGACATGCTGCAGCATTGCTTTCCCTTCTACTTTGTCTGAGAACAGGAGCTTTGTGGATCCCTACTCTATAGTGGGAATTAAAGGTTTGTGTTTTAGAGTGACTTGTGTTATTACCACCGAAGTCTATGAAAATGAAAACAAACAGATTTCATTTCCTGTTTCATGTTAGAATGAGCTCTGTAGCTGTTGCTGCAGGGATACACATAAGACAGGGATAATAAATACAGACATTATAAACTGTATTTAATTATACGCATTCTATGATTTGTTTTGTTTGGTGCATGTCATGTTTGAGCAAGACAAGAGTGAGTGTTGTATGTCACAGTTCAGCAGTGCTCTGCATGAAGTGGAAACAGCCCACAGCAAAGGGAAGAGAAAAAAAAGTCACGAAGAGCAGAAATAGGAAGTTATGCTCAAGAAACTTCAGTCATGCTCTGTCTTAACAGCTCTTTCTGCCCAACTTTGAGCCGTGAGCACTCATAACACACACACAAACCTTCCAGTTTATCCACATTAATGAAGGGGAGATTTAACAAGACCAAATGGGAATGCCTGAGACTTAGTCCCATTGCTTTACAAGAAGCTTTTTAAACAGTTTCAGGCGTGGGTGCAGGATATATCGGGTACATCTAGAACAAATATCTGGACAAATATCTGGGGGTTTCTGGCCAAATTTACACAAAGTCTTTATGAACGATCGACACATGAATCCCCACATCTGCTCAATGTGCTGTGCATCCAGTTGAGACATGTTGTATATGATGGGGACTATAAGAGCACTAAGTGATAAGAACATTCCTTATAAGGTTTTGAAGCTGTTTGAATTCACTTGCAGGCCTTAAGTGTTTCTGGCAGTGTGCTGACATGATGCACGTATGCACAATAAATCAATGAAATGTTGCAGCACTGTCATGATAACGTTTCACAGCATTTTTACACCAGTGCTCAATCGCATGTGAAAGTTGGTCACATATATTTTTTTGCTTTGTG